GCGCTGTTCGTAGAGTTGTACAAGAATATAGAGCTTAGATAGCGCTAGAGACTAGCTTACGTTTACCATTCATAGAATAATTGAGGTGTCACTCAAGTGGCGTAACTTAATGATGTGGTGTTGGCTGTTTCATGTGGGAATTTTTTTTTTCTTTTTTTTTGTCTTTTTTTTTATCTTGGGGGATGTATAGTTGTGTGTTTGTATGTGTAACATTTATCTAAATTATCTAAATTTATCTAAATAACTGTCAAATTGTTTGACCAATTATTCAATTAAATTATGCAGTGGCGTCGCTAGGTCGGGTGTTGTCACCCGGTACGTCAACTAATGGTGTCATCTCTCTCCCCCCCCCCCCCCCCGCGGAAAAAATCTATATATAGGCATATACAATTCTCAAGAGAACCTTTTTCTTCATGCAAATTTTGCAACGTTTAGCTGGTTTCACTGCACCCCTCCACCCGGTGATAGCTTTAAACTTTGCACAGATAATACAAACGATGTTCATCTATAGTCGGTTATAAATACAGCGGGATAGAGTATAGTTTTCTATATCGTCAGCCTGTTTACGTCATGGTGTCACCTCCCCCACCCCCCACCCCTGTCGGGATTTGTCAATTTTGCTCTTAATTTAAAGGACTTTTTAATTGTAATTAATCATGTTTTTAACTGGAATGATCGTTTATATATATATATATATATATATATATATATATATATATATATATATATATATATATATATATACTTATATATATATATATATATATATATATATATATATATATATATATATATATATATATATTTACTATATATATATATATATATATATATATATATATATATATATATATATATATATATATATATATATATATATATATACTTATATATATATATATATATATATATATATATATATATATATATATATATATATATATATATATATATATATATATATATATATATATATATATATATATATATATATATATTACCATTTTTGCCTTGGTGTCACCCCTCTAAATGGTGTCACCCAGTGCGGTCCGCCCCCGCCCCCCCCCCCCCCCCCCCATTCGCGACACCTTTGAAATTATGTCTGTTCAATCCTCGTTTAGAAAAAAACGCACCGTGTAATATTTGGGTTGGGGAAAAAATTATAGTCTTGGACTTTTTTTTAAGTAATCGTATTTCAAATTTTTATATAAAATAGTCTACGAACTTTGAGACAATGTGTTTCCGAAAAAATAAAAAAATAATAAAAAAAATAAAAAATAAAAAAAAATAAACGGGCGATTTTGTTACAAACTGAATTCTCTCTGAGCCACGTCCGACTGATTCGCCGCCACACAAAACCGGTGATTTAATTATTTTTTCGTCTCGCATCACCGACTCGATTCTCCTGACCTTCCCGACAGAGGCGTAGCGAGGGGTGGGGGGCGGGGCGTGCGGACCGCACCGGGTGACACCATTTAGGGGGGTGACACCATAGCAAAATATATAGAGAAAAATGATATTTCCACTTAATGAAGTGATTAATTCGAGTGTTAAATAGTCGAAAATTGAAAGTTTGTCCTCTGGAAGGATCGCTACGTCATTAAGTGCCGCACCGGGTGACACCCGACCTCGCTACGCCACTGCATCCCAATACACCGTGTCAGTGTCAACAGAAATCAGGCAACAGTGGAACCTTTCGTACTTCCTCGCTCTACTCCTGTGTCATAAAACAGGGCTGAACTACCCTGTATACAGTGTTGTAGATCATGAATAGTTACACCTGAAGATGCAGTGCACGTGGATTTTAATAGCCGCAGTGGTCGTAGCTTACGTACGAAGGTGAGTACTTCTGTAGGTAAAGAATTGAGTAAATTTAAATTAGACAGTTTTTGATTTACGAAATGTCTCGATAATTTAAATTAAGGCTACTGAATTCCGTGTTTACAATATTTGTTTAAAAAATCATCTTCGTCTCATTTCACTCAAGTCATTATTTTGGTTTTTCTAAGGTTTTGAGATCATATTATTGTCACATATTTTACACATTTCTAAGCATGCGATTCTTTTAGTGCTTATAAGTGGATAGCATCATTGGCTATACGAATATCCCTATGTCTAATTTAATTAATAGAATAGATTTAAAATTAACTTGTATGTAAGAAAAGTATTGGTTTATCAGGTGAAACTGTGTTCTTGAATTTTCAGTTGAATTTTCAGATGAAACTGTGTTCATGGATGTTCAGGTGAATTATAATGTGAAACTGTATTCATCAACGGGTGATATTAAGCTTACCTTTTATCGATTCAGTTTTGATACGATTAATATAATGCATCTATTCATACGTTTTTTTTTACTTTCTCGTATATACGAAGTATAGAGAAAGTCTTGTAATCGTGCAAAAAAAATCGAGATTTTTACAAATCTCGAGGTTTTACACCTCACTGATACGGAAAAACAAAATTTTGCAATCTTGTCCGTATGTCTGTGTGTCTGTGTGTGTGTATCTGTGTGTATGTGTGTAAACACGATAACTCGATAACTTGAGTACCGTTAAAGCTAGGTTGATGAAATTTCATATATAAAAATGTTATCGAAATCGTAGATCAAGGTCAACTTTTGAGCGATTTCCGATAACCGGAAGTGGTACTTTTTCTACTTTGAATTTTTCAAAAGCATATAACTTGAGTACTGTTTCAGATAGATAAATGAAATTTCACATGTTAGTATAACATCTAATTATCTACCTTCTGTCAAATTTTGAGTAATTTCCGTTGACCCGAAGTAGTAATTTACGCCATTTCCGATTTCTCAAAAAAAAACGCATGTAAATTTATAAAGTACTAATAATATTCAGCACTATTATGCACATCTTGTTTTGGCGTTCGCTTGGTGCGCAATTCTTTTTTCTACGAGATTCTATTCTATTTTTAAAAGTTTAAGTAATTAAAAATCATGTCTATATCCCGAGTTATATAAGAATATTCGAGAAAGCTTAGGGGAGATCACTCCCGGTTTATTAATCAATGCAATGGAGATTAAAAAATACTTTTTTAAAATTATTGTTGACGCCCTCGCTTTTAACGCCCCAGTGAAACGACGCCCGCGCCCGCTATAGAGAGTGGGGCTTTCTGGGCCACGTTGTCCAACACTCTCCACCCGGGCTGGCCGCTGAAACTGACCATCCAGATTTTGAAAGGAACAGACCCCGTCAACGTGACCATCGACGTATTGAACTATGAAGGTACGGACACGTATGTGTCAGGTGTCCCGACGTTGGTCTACCCGGGAGGTGAGTGGATAGAAATATATTTTTAAACATTTTCTTTAAAAAATAAAACAATATTAAGTTTTAATTACTTCATGTAAATACATTGTATACTAACAAAAATAAACCGGGAGTGATCTCCCCTAAACTTTCTCGAATATTCTTATATAAAATAACAGGGGATGGGAACTCGGGCTGTAGACATGATTTTTAATCCATTTTAAATACTTAAAGTTTTAAAAATATAATAAAATCTCGTAGACAAAAGAATTGCACACCAAGTGAAAGCCAAATAAAAAAGTGCTTAATAGTGCGCAATATTATTAGTGTTTTAAAAATTTACATTCGTTTTTTGAGAAATCGGAAGTAGCGTAAATTACTACTTCCGGTCAACGGAAATTACTCAAAATTTAACAGAAGGTAGAGAATTAGATCTTTTACTTACATCTGAAATTTCATTTATATATCTGAAATAGTACTCAAGTTATAGGCTTTTGAAAAATTTAAAGTAGGAAAAGTACCACTTCCTGTTATCGGAAATCGCTCAAAAGTTAATACGGATCTACGATTTTGATAAAATACTTGTATATGAAATTTTTTCATCAACCTAGCTGTAACGGTACTCAAGTAATCGTGTTTACACACGGACAGACAGACAGACAGACACACACACAGACAGACACACAGATATACGGACAAGATTGCAAAATTATGTGAGGTGTAAAACGTCGAGATTTATAAAAATCTCGATTTTTTTTTGGCACGATTACATGACTTTCTCTATACTTCGTATATACGAGAAAGTAAAAATCAACAATCAAAACGACTTTAAAAGTTTACGATTGAAAAATGTATATAAAGTTGGACGTTGTGTTCGGGGGGTATAGCATACGTCTGCTAACTCGACAGTTTCGAGTTCGAATTCGGGTTCGTATCAGTAGAGTTTCCCGAGTCCACCCAGCTCTAATGGGTACCTGGCTCACGGTATAGGAATAAGGCGACTAGGTTTAGTGCTAATCAAACAATCTTTTCATTTTCTGAGGTCATTGAAGCAGGTGAACACTACTTCCCCTGGACCTTCAGTTTCGAATGGTATAATTTGAATTTATATAGATAGATAAGCGTTGATGATATTAAAATTCAGTTTCCGTGGAATCCGATGGACTGGATCCTAATACTCTGCCTGTTCGAGTATAAGTGTATGTGTTATGGTACATTAAGGGCGATGGTACGCATAACCCTACAACTTTGGAAAAAATCTTTGCAAACTTTTACTAAAAACGACAGTTGGTCGCTAACATGTCTCATCTAAAAAATCGAACTCGTAAAAACAATAAGTAAGGTAATGTTGTTTTGAAAAACTTGACAAAACAAGCATTAAGATTAACAATTGGGTAAAAAAAAATGTCTGAGGTTAAAATACAGACATTGGGGAAAAGCAACAAATTAATCACAACTAAACTTTTTATGGCTTGCAATACAGTTTAATATCTGCGAAAGAAATAAAGTATACCGACTTTTGATTTAATTTACAATGTGTGTATATTTCAAACACTATTCGTATTATTTTAGAAATTATATTTCACTTATTTTACTTATAGAAACTGATTAGTTAGCAGAGATTAGTGTTTTAAAAATCTCGTAAATTAATAACAACATGAGTTATGTATAAACCCCTATGAATTTTCAACAGTTAAGACATAAATTAAGATATTTATTTTTCTTAACAGATGTTCAAGTAATTCAAATAGATGTAAGTATATAAATGGTAGATGTAAGTATATATATACATACATATATATATATATATATATATATATATATATATATATATATATATATATATATATATATATATATATATATATATGTATATGTATATATATATATATATATATATACACAGAGAGAGAGAGAGAGAGAGTTTATATGCAATGCCCACATCTGCTTTGGCTTATTTAACACATCACAAATCATGGATAACAAATCAGTATGAAAAAAGTTAAGTAAGAACATCGACACAAGGCTAAATTACCTAAGCACTATCAAATGTGCAGCTATTGTCCTATTGGTGTTGCACACACACACACACACACACACACATATGTACAAATGCACACACTTACACACTCGTAGGCTGTTGTATAATAATTTGCTTGATTGCTTAATATGTAGACATCCCTAACGTTTTGTAGAAAAAGCATTTAGAGACTAACTGTAACAGTTGTTAATTCAGTTGGCAAAAAATGATTAATTTTCTTGTAATGTCAACCTCCCGCCCCCCCCCCCCCCCCCCCCGTCCTCCAGATGTGGATTGACAACCATGCCTTTTTCCTGAAGCAAATTTTTCAAAGTTTAATTGATGTAACCTCCCCCCCCCCCCCCCCCGGTGATAGCTTTAAACTGAGCTAAGATAATGCTAACGATGTTTACTTATAGTCGGTTATTAATACAACTGGTATGGCATTGTTTATTTCTATCATTAGCAGGTTAACGTCATTGTGGCACCACCCACCACTACCCCATCCTTGTCGGGATTGGTCAACTTTGCCTTTAAAAGTCTATTTAACTCATATTAATCATTTATTTAGATGGAATGATTTTTTTCTGTATATATATATATATATATATATATATATATATATATATATATATATATTGTAAATATCAACGATTTAATCTTACAGATTCCACAAGTACATAATCCTAAAGATGATATTCCTTATTATCAAGTCACAGTAACAGGAGAGGGTAATTCTGTGAACTTTCAATACGAGGGCTATGTTTATGTGGAAGAAAAGACGCTCTCTATTTTCATTATAACGGACAAGGCAGTCTATAAGCCTGGTCAAACTGGTGAGGTTGTATGCTGTCTGTGTAAGGGTCAGAGGTCAGGAAATGATGTCATATTTAATATTGCTGTCATTATTTTTTTACTTATCATAATGTAAATTACAACGCATATAGAAAATAGACATATTAAAAAAAAACCCGTTTTCCACTGACTTCCTCGTTCAAATTCATAAAAAAAATTCAAAAAAAAAACGTTTTAATAACAAGCTTTTCTGTACTAATGCACTAAAAAGTAGAAAATAAATTATACACTACTATTTAAATTACTATAAAGAAAAGCGTGGGTCACTTTAGTACTTTAGTACCTATTTTATACCTTTACTAATATTCGAGAAGAGACCCACGCTTTTCTTTATAGTGATTTAAATAGTAGTGTATAATTTATTTTCTACTTTTTAGTGCATTAGTACATAAAAGCTTGTTATTAAAACGTTTTTTTATGAATTTGTTTTCAGTACTTTACATGTTTTATTTACGATAGTGTTACATGACTAAACCATTGCGCGCCTATTGAACGTGATGGCGCAGCTATTCAACCTGATGGCGCAGCTATGGAACGTGATGACGCGTGTGGTGTGGTTGGATAGACATGCCTACTAATTCGGTCCAAATTTTAATTAATTCATTAAAAATTAATTAGGCATCGAATTAAGTCAAATTTAGTTTCAGATTGCATTGTCTTCATGTCTTGACCCACGTGCCAAATGTGAATCGTATCGGTCAAGTAGAAGTGTCCGAATTTTCACTCCTGCGTTTCTATCTAGACTGACGACAGACTGACGACTGACGACAGAGGAAGTGAGTTAAATAAAAGCTTGTAAAAAGCACAATTAGTTACAGGCTGATACTTAGTCTTGTTTATGATGGTCTACTTACATGATAGAACGGTGGTAATGGAAACACTTTGAAAACTAAGTCCCCCTCATTTTATTTTGTTTAGTCAAGATCAGAATTCTCGCCGTGACACCAGAGCTAAAAATTATGAGAAATGAGTCAAAGGACGTAGCCATAAAGGTGAGTCGCAGCAGTAGTTGATGATTGTATACATGTAGACGTGTACGTGTACATGTACGTGTGCGTGTATGTGGCTGTGGCTGTGGCTGTAGCTGTAACTGTATCTTTAACTTTTGCTCTAGCTATGAATCTGATTCTAGCTCTGGCTATAGCTATTTATGGCTCTGGCTCTGGCTATTTATGGCTATTTTATGGCTATTTTTATGGCTATTTTTATGGCTATTTTACGGCTATGGCTATGGCTATTTTTATGGCTATTTTTATGGCTATTTTTATGGCTATGGCTATGGCTATGGCTATGGCTATGGCTATGGCTATGGCTATGGCTATGGCTATGGCTATGGCTATGGCTATGGCTATGGCTATGGCTATGGCTATGGCTATGGCTATGGCTATGGCTATGGCTATGGCTATGGCTATGGCTATGGCTATGGCTATGGCTATGGCTATGGCTATGGCTATGGCTATGGCTATGGCTATGGCTATGGCTATGGCTATGGCTATGGCTATGGCTATGGCTATGGCTATGGCTATGGCTATGGCTATGGCTATGGCTATGGCTATGGCTATGGCTATGGCTATGGCTATGGCTATGGCTATGGCTATGGCTATGGCTATGGCTATGGCTATGGCTATGGCTATGGCTATGGCTATGGCTATGGCTATGGCTATGGCTATGGCTATGGCTATGGCTATGGCTATGGCTATGGCTATGGCTATGGCTATAAATATGGCTATGGCTATAAATATGGCTATAAATATGGCTATAAATATGGCAATAAATATGGCTATACATATGGCTATAAATATGGCTATAAATATGGCTATAAATATGGCCACAAATATGGCTATAAATATGGCAATAAATATGGCTATGGCTATAAATATGGCTATAGCTATAAATATGGCTATGGATATAAATATGGCTATGGCTATAAATATGGCTATTAATATGGCTATAAATATGGCTATAAATATGGCTATAAATATGGCTATAAATATGGCAATAATATGGCTATGGCTATAAATATGGCTATAGCTATAAATATGGCTATGGCTATAAATATGGCTATAGCTATAAATATGGCTAAGGCTATAAATATGGATATATATATATATATATATATATATATATATATATATATATATATATATATATATATATATATATATATATATATATTTAATTGTATATATAAAGTAGGTATATATACAAGTTATCAATGTTTAAAATTTAAAGTAAGGATTTATTCTTCTAAATATGGATATGCATTTAAACTTATACAGAAAAACTAATATATTCTAGTTAAACACTTAACTAATTTACATTCGCATTCGCATTTCCTATGCGTTTAAGACTGCTGTAGAAGACATAAGTGAGCTGATACATTTATGAATCGACTAGCACTTATGGTATATATATATACATATATATATATATATATATATATATATATATATATATATATATATATATATATATATATATATATATATATATATATATATATATATATATATATATATATATATATCGCATATTTCCTGATAGGACCCTAAGGGCAACACGATCAGGCAGTGGATGAACTTGAAAGATTCCACACAAGGAGGTGTTGATGAGTTGTATTTTCAATTAGCCGATCACGTGCTTACCGGAGATTGGCTCATTACGGTCACAATCAAGGTAAATGTATAATGTATAATTGTACGTATATATTTTCTAATATATATTTGTATATATATATATATATATATATATATATATATATATATATATATATATATATATATATATATATATTTATATATATATATATATATAAATGTCTATATATATATTTATTAAGATCATCTTATATGTGTATACAAATTGTTTGTTGTTTCCTGCGGTGGTGCGAGAATTCTACAAAATATAATGGATAGTAGAGACTGGAAATATTATATTTTGTAAGATTGGGTAGGATGCAGGTCAAACAGACTCTTATGTTATATGCATGTCATGTTTTATTCTATCCCAGAGTATTGAGGAATCTCTTATATTTACAGTTGATAATTACGGTAAGATGTTTAATTAATTAATTCAGACTATTTAATGGAACTAACGGGTATTCCAAATTAAAAAAAAAATTTAAGTTGTTATTCCTCATCTTTATTTTTCTGTAACAGATGGGTTGTATGTATCTTATTTCAATAAATTTTTTAAAGTTCTTTTTTTATCCTTTAAACTATTTTAACCCTAAAATAACAAGCATTGGCGGGATATTGATCACTGTGTTAGAGTCATAAAACCCCCAAGCAAGATGTGTCGATAGGTCCACCTATTTCAAAGGTTTTAGATATACATTTTTTTTAAGAATTGAAACGACACGTACACCACTTGTTTTCCTACAAATTACTAGTTAATTTGTGCGTGATACATTTGTTATCTCGTCATTTCCAAGAAGATTCCAAATTAGAACAACGGTTTATTAAAAAAGTCTACATACAATAAAGCGAGAGTGACCTCCCATAAACTTGCCCGTATATTCTTATAAAACAGAAACGGGATAGCACTTCAAGTGCAATCGGACAAAAGAAATGTTTTTATTAAATATTTTAATTTTTAAAAAATTTAAATAGAATCGCGTGGAAAAATGAATAACGCACCGAATCAGCGCATACGGTGTGTTTATACTAGAGCAAAAAATTAGTAATGTATAAAGAAAACATTGAATACCATTTCTGATAAATTAGAAATAGCTGCAATTACTACTTCGATCTCCGAAATATTTGACAGCAACCAGTGAGTAAGATCATATACTCATATGTGATTTTTTGTCCAACTAACTGAAACGGTACTCAAGTTATCGGTATTTTAGAAACCAGAAACAGAGCAAATTACCCCTTACGGATGTCGGAAGTCACACACAGTATACGAGAAAGTAAAATTAAATAAAAATGACATATTGTAATCAAATATAAACACATCATATCCGAATCTCCACTTATGCTCACAGTTTTACCCACATTTGAAGTAGAGTTGGACACGCCCTCGTTTGGCTTGTCTACTGATGCGACCCTTGATTTTACCGTCAGGGCTAGGTAAGTGAAACAGTTTTGCCTTTAGGTAAGTTAAACACATTTCTTTGAAACTACATTTATGAATTTGTATAAATAAATGTATGAAGAAGTAAACCACATTCCTATGCAAGCAAATCGCATCTCTGTGTAATCTGATGGCGTAGCAAATCCGTAGTATAGTTCATTTGTAAATAGGGGAGTAGTTAACCTTTGTGAGAATAAAGTAAAAAAAAAGCAATCTTTCAGACCTGAAAATCCACTATGCAGATGAAGTAGAGTTTTTTTTGTCAACCATTACATTTAGGGATATTCCATTGCCAGCACGATGCCCAAACGACTTTCACTCCACAATCGTGAGTTAAGTACCCATTAGAGCTGGGTGGACTCAGGAATGTTCTACAAACTCAAAGCCACGATTCGAACATGAGACTAAAGGATTAGTATTCAAGTGCTCTGCAGTCCGAACACTTCGCCCCATATCTTAAAAGTCTAGCTACTCTTTATCTGCGATTATATCAACCTATGTATGTAAGTAAATCAAATATTCGTTTGTGAGTATCGCTCACTAACCTGTATCTGTGAGTAGAACTCAACTCTTTCTGATAGCGTAGCGTAAATGTTAGCACAGATAAGTTCCATAAGTGTGTTTAGCTCACCTACATGTGTATAAACAGCTCATCTTTATCGAAAGCTTACATATATCTATCCGGTTATAGTTGTTCATACAGGTTAGCTTGAACATCTGTGTACGTATGGCTCACCTGTATTTATAACTATGCTATCCTGAATGTGTAACCATAACTGTAACTATCTCTGACCTATACATAATATCTGACTCCATTTTGTCTAGGTACACTTTCGGCCGCCCTGTGACACAAGCTGGTGTGAAAGTAAACATCAAATTGTTTTACGATTTCTTGACCCCCGACACCGGCGGTGCATTTTTAACTCTCACTGGACAGGTGATATTTGTTATATTTCCTAACGATTGGTAGTTAAAATTTGAAACGATCTTAAATATCTTAAATAAAATTCAATGCGTTAATTTTTTTATTTTTATTTTTTAGAAATATAGAAAAGGTTCGTTCAAATGATTATAGGGAAAATCATTAAATTATAGAAAAATATGAAAAATAAATTATTTATTACTTAAGTAGCAAATAGATAGGTCATTCGTGGTTGTTTTTTTTTTCAAGTTTTTTTTTATTGTTTGTAATCACAATCTACCATTATTTTATATTTAAATATAGGTTTTTTTAAATTTTATTTTATAAAATCGATTTTAAATGTAAATTCAGTCGAAAGTATAAGCGTTGTGAGCCTATCTGGTTTGTGAGTGATGACTTTTCTTAATTTTCTGAACGTAGACGAAGTTATATTCCGTTTATTTCAGCACTTTAATGACTTTCTTAGATTAGTTTGTAAGCAAAGTGGCAACATACGTTTTAAAATGTACCACGAAAATATACACTTATTTTCCAACACGACGAGACAGCGTGGTCGGGTGGGTAGAGCGCACAACCGATTTGATGTGTACCTGTCTCAAATTAGGGTTCAAATAAGTGCTGCTGGCCTCAGTATCCTATCAGCTGCCGATGTTTTAATAACAGGTTAACTCTACTTCATCTGTCGTAAAACAAAAACCGGAATTTAAATAGTAGGTCTATATTTACCTTTTGTAAAAATATTTTTTATTTATTTACACGATTTTTGATCGCGCGTCTTTCTCTTAATTCCAGTTAAACCAAAGTGGCGAAGCGTTTGTTCAAGTGACCACAGACGAACTATTAAGTTTGTACACTATGATGGGTTACTCGATCAATACACTGGACGGTGCATATTTTATAATACACGTCAACGTGACGGAGAACAGCACTGGTCGCGTGGAGAGTACGTCAGCCGAGATCAAATACCACAGCCGGCCCTACATTCTGAGGCTTCTCTCACTGTCGCCCAGCGTCTTTAAGCCTGGTCTGCCTTACACGTGTTATGTAAGATGGATTTCAAATTACCATTTTAACAGTAATTTTTTCTTTAGCGTGCTTTTTAAACCAGTTATATTAATTGATACTTTACTAGCCCTTCTACAATAGTTAACAGAGATTTAGTTTAAACTTCTGCAATAATAAAGTGAGATTTACTTTGAACTTCTACAATAGTAAACTGAGATTTACTTTGAACTTTTACAATAGTAAACTGAGATTTACTTTGAACTTTTACAATAGTAAACTGAGATTTACTTTGAACTTTTACAATAGTAAACTGAGATTTACTTTGAACTTTTACAATAGTAAACTGAGAATTACTTTGAATGTATGCAACAGTACACGGATCCTACCTTCCCTTACACTTTAACAAAAGTTATCTATTTTCTTGATTTTGAAATTCTAATATTGTCTAAAATTGTATTCCATACGTATGTTTATGCACACATCAATTCAATAATCACTAACAATTTGTCAAAAATAAATATTTAATTTCAGTGTCAAGTGAAAAAAGTGGATGATACCATTCTATCACTTTCTGAAGCGAGAAGGGTTAGTGTGATGATCAACGTCACCTACGATGTGAAACTAACAAACGAAGAGTTGATCGCATTGTACAATATTTCAAGCTTTCCCGAAGATACATACTACTCTTTCTATAATGCTTTTTACTATAACGAGAAATGGTATGGTAAGCAGTATGTAATTTTCGTTTCTTTGTTAATATTACCAATGCAGTATTCATTTCATTAGAAAAATATAACTGAGAGGAAGATATTAGATATTTTGTAACGTAAAAGAGGCCCAATATTCGTTTAAAAGAGCATTGCATTGAATGATTTGGCTACTAGAATTAACAGATTTAAAATATGATTGTGCATTGGTATTTTGGTTTCAATGCAATTTGCTTGCCCTGTTTGAAAATCATTACTAAATAGGGTCAGTATATTTAATCTATTAAAAGTAAAAAAAAAAAATTCATAAAAAAACGTTTTAATAACAAGCTTTTATGTAATAATACACTAAAAAGTAGAAAATAAATTATAGACTACTATTTAAATAACTAGAAAAAAAAGCGTGGGTCACTTTAGTATCTATTGGATACCTACACTAATGTTTAGGAAAACACCCATGCTTTTCTTTCTAGTTATTTAAATAGTAGTCTATAATTTATTTTCTACTTTTTAGTGCATTATTACATAAAAGCTTGTTATTAAAACGTTTTTTATGAATTTTTTTGTCAGTACTTTACATGTTTTATTTACAATAGAGTTACATGACTAAAAACCATTGCGCGCCTACTGAACATCACGTTCAGTAGGCGCGCAATGGTTTTTGAACGCAGCCATTGAACGTTAGATAGACATGCCTACTAATTCGGTCCAAATTTTAATTAATTTATAAAAAATTAATTAGGCATCCAATTAAGTCAAATTTAGTTTCAGATTGCATTATCTTCATGTCTTGACCCACGTGCCAAATGTGAATCGTGTCGGTCAAGTAGAAGTTTCCGAATTTTCACTCCTGCGTTTCGGTCTAGACTGACGACTGACGACTGACGACGAAGTGAGTTAAATAAAAGCTTGTAAAAAAAAGTTCCCTTTTCGAACCTGGCATGCCTTAGGAAAGTGAAGTAGAGTTCACCTTTTTCAGTGACATGGGTATACTGGGCATGGTGTGGTTTGCACTCGTTCCAGCCGAACTTTACTTTCCCTACTGTGAGTCGGGTACCCATCATGCGGGTGATCTTCCGACTTGAACTCGGATTCAATCTTGAGACTTTCGTGTTAGCAGTATTGAGCTCTACCGCTAGGTCAAGCCCCTAATAAAAGTAACAGTTAATTATTTTAAAAGTTGTAAGTTTTTGCATAATCCTGACAACAGACTTTTATTAAAGCATGTAGGCAATAAAACAAACGCAGCATTTACAAGGAAATGAAGTATAATGTAATTATTCAATTTTTTTACAATCAGATTACTTTCTATTTCTTATCAACTAACAGCCGCCTATAAAGAAGTCATTCTAAGCATCGCCAGTCCTGTACAACCTTTACCGGAAACAGGCTTGGTAACTTTCACCTTCGACATCCCGTTGGAGGCAACAAACGTGAACGTTTTCGTCAAGCTTCTCGGGCCACACTACGATGAAGACTTTCGACATTTGGACAAGGCTGAGTCTACATCGGGATCGTATCTTCAGCTGCGAGTGTTCACAGAGAAACCCAAGGTAGGTTGTAGGTAGGTTATTGTATACTAGGCACGGTTTAAATCATACTTGGTGTACATAGGGATTGTTTCAATTATACAAGGTACAGATTGTCATTTTTGTTTTTAAATTACGTAAGGCAAGCAGACAGAAACTACACGTCTCAAGCGCCAGGGTGATTTCCCAATTTGCTTCTACTTATCTCCCTTGCAGCATTATATCGCCCAATCTCTCCGCTGACCCCCCCCCCCCCCCTCATCTGTAGGCTGCTACGATCAATTACAGTATTTACAGACTTCAATTCAACTTCTACCTTCCTCCTTTCATGGAACCCGTACTGGATTACCTTGGAATTGTTTCAATTATACTAGTTATAACTTTACAATTTTTTAAAAATCATAACAGTGTTTCTTCCAGACTTTTATTTTTCCTTTGGGGGGGGGGGGGGGGGGAAAGCACTTGATATTTTCGTGGGGGGGGGGGGGACACTGGTAAAAGTAAATATTTTCTAAATAAGTTCCAATTTTTCAAGGGGTGGGGGGGGGGAATTATTGTTTTATAAGTAATAGTTAGTTTGGTATCAGGAAGTGGTAGGAGGGGGAGTCTTGAAAGAGGGACCTTAATGATTGGTAGCTGCAGTTTTTTTAAGTTATGGTATACATCTTAATTTTGAGTTGAAATAATTAGTGATTCCTGATTGCACACACACACACACACACACACATATATATATATATATATATATATATATATATATATATATATATATATATATATATATATATATATATATATATATATATATATATATATATATATATAAGACTATATAACATTGTTTTAACTTTATAAAATAAAATATAAAATATTTTTTTACAACAGGTTGGGGAACAATTAACAGTAAAAGCAGAGACAACTGAGCTAGTACAGTCCCTTATATATCAGGTAAAAGATAAGTGTAGCAATGTTTTCATGTAACAGCCAATGTTGTTGGTTTAGTTGTCAACGGTCGTGCCTAATACAAGTATAAAATACTATTTTAAAAAGCTGTGCATTTAGTTTAAGATATTTGGTAATAATTCTATGTGAAATATATCATCCTTAAACTTTCTCGTGCTTAATATCAGTAAGGCAGAAAGCACTTTCTTCAGTGCAATCGAGCTATAGAAATGTCAAAGTGTGTTAAACTCCTGGTCATTTTTTTAATGGAGAAAATACATACAAGTGAAAATTTCTTAGAATAAATATGGTTTATGACTATTTGATAATTCAAATCAAATTTATTCAAAAAACGGTAATAATTGTAGGCACGAAGGCCTTTTTACACATTTGCCGTTTAAACAAATAAAACAATTCAATAACACATACCAGTAACATAGCACTAAAAATGTGGAATAAAGAAATAATGTTACATAGTTATAATACAAAATGAGATAAAAAAAGAATATAATAGATGAATGAGAAATGTTACAATGAGTTAGTTAGAGAGGTCATTAAATAATTGTTGTTTTAGTTTAGATTCGAATATATTTTCAGATCTAGATAGCTTTATTTTATTAGGAAGATTGTTCCACAAATTAGAACCAGAGTAGGCGAAGCTATGTTTTTGGAAAAAAAGTTGTATATGGGAACGGTAAATTAAGACGACGATTTAATTTTATGTTAAAAGAAAATAGGTCTGATAAGTAAGAGGGGGCTGTTTCGTGGAATCTTTTATATTAAAAAATTGATTTAGTATATATTATCTTTTTATTTAATGGAAGTATTTTAGTTGTAATAAAAGAATCCAGACTACTAGACAAGCCAGTAACCAGTTTTATAGCCCTTTTTTACTTTCTCGTATATACGTAGTATAGAGAAAGTATTGTAATCGTGCAAAAAAAAATCGAGATTTTTACAAATCTCGACGTTTTACACCTCACTGATACGGAAAAACATAATTTTGCAATCCTGTCCGTATGTGTGTGTGTGTGTGTGTGTCTGTGTGTCTGTGTGTCCGTGTGTAAACACGATAACTTGAGTACCGTTACAGCTAGGCTGGTGAAATTTCATATATAAGTATTTTATCAAAATCGTAGATCCGTATCAACTTTTGAGCGAATTCCGAAAACCGGAAGTGGTACTTTTTCTACTTTGAATTTTTCAAAAGCCTATAACTTGAGTACTATTTCAGATAGATAAATGAAATTTGATATGTAAGTAAATAAGATAATTCTCTACCTTCTGTCAAATTTTGAGTAATTTCCGTTGACCGGAAGTACTTATTTACGCTATTTCCGATTTCTCAAAAAACGCATGTAAATTTATAAAGTACTAATAATATTGCGCACTATTATGCGCTTTTTTATTTAGCGTTCACTTGGTGTGCATTTCTTTTTTCTACGAGATTATATTCTATTTTAAGAAATGTGATTATTTAAAATGGATTAAAAATCATGTCTAGAAGTCTATATCCCGAGTTGCCATCCCCTGTAGTGTTATATTAGAATATTCGAGAAAGTTTAGGGGAGATCACTCCCGGTTTATTTGTAAAGATATAGATCTGATTATCGAATTTTAAGGATCTTTGAGAAATCTGAAACATGGCGCAATACCCCATTATTAATCGCTAATGTTCCATATTATCATATACACTATAAAAAGAAAAGAAGCAGATATTAAAAACGAATTGTGTACCAGAAGTTATGTAAAATAATCTAATTATATAGTTTTTTTGAGTACTCCGGAATTGCGTGAAGTAGTACTTCCGGTAAACGGAAATATCTTATAATTTGAGATTAAGATAATTGGATCTTTTATATATGTATTACATTTCGTGTACCAAACCGAAACGCTACTTAAACTGTCGGTATTTTCGAAAGGTAAAGTGATACTAAGTGATTTATATTTATGTAAATGAAATTATACTCAGTTATCGTGTCCAGTTATCGGTAATCGTTTACAATTTGTACAAAGCATGTGAATACATTTTAATCTTTACACGTGAAATTTCGTTCATTTAGCTTAAATAGTACTCTAGATATAGGTTGTTTTTTTTTCATTGGAAGCAGAATTATTATCATTTCCGTGAAACGGAAATCGCTCAAAAATTGAAAGAAAACTTTAAATTTAGTATAATACGTATAAATGATATTTAGTGAACCTAATTGAAATGATACTCGTGCTATCGTGCTTAAGGACACACTTACATCGGGAATCGATGAAAAATTGATACAGAACTACACAATTAATATGATACTTATATATGAAATTTCATCAATCTAGCTGTAACGGTACTCAAGTTGTCATGTTTACAGACACACATACACACGCACACACACACACACACACACACGCACACACGGACATGCTTAAAAAATTGCAAAACTATGTTTTTTATACGACTCATGGAGGTGTTAAACGTCGAGATCTGTGAAAATCTCGATTATTTTTTATTTTTTTTTGCACGATACATCGTATACGAGAAAGTAAAAAAAGATTTTATCCTCTTAAGAAATGGTTTTTTTTTTTGTTACTTCTCTCTGTATATCAGGTGTACTCAAAGGATCAGCTTGTGAGTACCAAAACAGTGGTTCCGAAAGGTGACGAAAGGTCAAAGATCATAACCTTTAATCTGACCGTGACCTACGAGATGTCCCCAAAGTTAACTCTGCTCGTATTTTATGTGAGGGAGAACAACTCTGAGATTGTCGCTGATGCTATATCTGTATTCGTGGATGGATTGTTTCAAACGCAGGTTTTGGCATACCTAACAAAAATAATAAAATTATATAAATAGAATTTATTTAGCCAGATAATGCAGTTGAATCCACACCTTCCTTGATTACAATTGTATTAATGTCATTCTGCGTGGGTTTTGGGGGGGGGAGGGGGGATACAATTTACCAATATATGCTGGTGGTTGTAAAATGTAAATGTGTTGTATTTTGGTTTACTTTAAAATTTACTTGTCTTATTCAAATGAACAAATAGACTGTAGATTGTGTCAGTGTTGGTTCAATGAAATGCAACTCTTCTCATTGTTTATTCGTGTAACTGCAAAATTTACCTTTGTTTATTTATGTGGATTTAAAATTTTCCTGCGAATGTAAAATTTACCTGTCTATACTTCTATACTCAGGAGAATGTAAAATTTATATGTCTATATTTCTATACTCAGGTGAATGTAAGATTTACCTATGTTTATTCAGGTGAACGTAAGATTTAGCAAAGAGAAAGTGGAGCCAGGTGAAGATGTTGACCTGATAGTAGAAGGTGAGCCCAACTCTATTGTCTACTTGAATGTCAAAGATGTCAAAGTGGATCTACTCAAGTCAGGGAATGACATCACACAGGACAGGGTAAGATTGTGTACAAAATGTTTCCTTTTATTCCGACATTTAAAAGATGATGTATTAGAAGTTAATGAAATATCTCACATGGACAAACACAAAAACAGCTACTACACATATACAATGACAACACACACATAAAAAATAATTGTATTTATATAAGTATTGTTTATATTGTATCCGCAGGTTCAAAATGAGGTTGCTAATTACAATGGACAGGATTCCATGTACTGGAATTACATGTTTTCTTATGGGTGGAGCTTTTCATTTTATGGAATTAACACAGATTACCTACTTAAGGTAAGATTGTTATTTAAGCGGGTAAATTATAAAGATAGATACTAAAATATTATAACATTAATAAATCATATATATATATATATATATATATATATATATATATATATATTTCAGAGTATTGATGTTAATTTGATAATTGACAGTTTTGTTGCTACAAAGGCTAATCGTGAGTATTTTTACAAGCTTTTATTTAACTCACTTCCTCGTCAGTCTGTCGTCAGTCAGTCTAGACCGAAACGCAGGAGTGAAAATTCGGACACTTCTACTTGACCGATACGATTCACAGTTGACACGTGGGTCAAGACATGAAGACAATGCAATCTGAAATTAAATTTGACTTAATTGGATGCCTAATTAATTTTTTAGGAATTAATTAAAATTTGGACCGAATTAGTAGGCATGTCTAGCCAACCACACAACACGCGTCATCACGTTCAATAGCTGCGCCATCACGGTACGTTCAATAGCTGCGCCATCACGTTCAGTAGGCGCGCAATGGTTTTTAGTCATGTAACTCTATTGTAAATAAAACATGTAAAGTACTGAAAAAATTTTTTTTCATAAAAAACGTTTTAATAACAAGCTTTTATGTAATAATGCACTAAAAAGTAGAAAATAAATTATAGACTACTATTTAAATAATTATAAAGAAAAGCGTGGGTGTCTTCCTTAACATTAGTAAAGGTATCCAATAGATACTAAAGTGACCCACGCTTTTCTTTATAGTTATTTAAATATTAGTCTATAATTTATTTTCTACTTTTTAGTGCATTATTACATAAAAGCTTGTTATTAAAACGTTTTTTATGAATTTTTTTTTTACAATGATTTCCGATAATCTATGACTGACTTTTCTTTTGTGGTCTGCACTTTTACTGTATACTTATACGACTAATATTCCTTCGCCTGTTGTGAAGAATTTTCTCACACAATTGTCGCCTTTTTCCATAGATTATTTTATTATTAACAATTCCTGATATTTTAAGCCTCAGTGTGTAAGAAAAAAAATAGTTTTGATATAAAGTCCTTTATTGCGTGAGCTCTAATTTCTTTAGATTTCGCCAATAACAAAACATAATTTGTAAAGTGCAGCTTAGTCTAATATTACCGTTATCCGGGTCGCTAACCATATAAAATGCTTAGAACTAATTATTCGACGTGTGTCTTCAAATAGTAATATCTTGCCTATAATTTATTATATCCTCAGTTGGTTATTATGGTGAAAACGGTAGAGGCCCATTGAGCTCTCAATATGGTGATCCAACAACGCCTTCACAAGCTTCTATCTCAGTCAGGAAACGGTTCCCAGAGAACTGGGCTTGGGATATACTGGATATCAAGTAGGTTTGTCAAATCTAACCCGGTTTGGTTTCATCTTTACATTGTGTTAGAGCTAAAGCTGTTAAAATTGATGTTCATATATAGTTTTGGAAAAATATATTTTTGTGACATTTCTTGAAGAAAAATAATTGAACTTGCCACAGTTTCTTATATATAATAAAATTGTCAGGATTAATTTACAATTCCTTATGGTCAATGATTTAGAAAGTATATGAGTTGTATATGCTCATTTTTGGATAACAAGCGTTTGACCGAAGACTATTCTGTTGCTTGCGAAGCTAAGGAACGAAATTCGATTTTGTATTACATGTTTTTATTGTAAATTGCCCTACAGCCTAACTGACATCCCATACAAATAGAAACCCGTCCAATAACTTTCTAAAAAGACCATTATAATTATTATAATAATGACATATTGTATCTTTTACTCAGATCTAATGGTCAAGGAGTTATGACCTTGACCTCACCAGATACCATTACGTCCTGGGTGGCCACAGCCTTCAGTACTCACCCCCAGTTAGGACTTTCAGTGGTCAAGGCTCCTGCCAAGGTATCACCACAATAACCGATGTTTACATCAAAACGGAGTTAGGGTGCGATGTTTGGGCATTGTTCCTATAACACAATAACAATCTCTCACATCATTAATATCTACACCAAACGCTATTCTCAACAGCACCCATTACTATAATAGCCACAATACTTTCAACAATAACTATTTCATTCTTCTCTAAAGTACTACGTTTAGCAACATAACGCTCCTTTTTTTTAAACATACTCTCCATTTTCATCACATCAGTGGTTTCTAAACAATGTATTACTCTATCTCTCTATACGGAAACCGGCTCAGAAGTATGACTTCTATTAGCCAGGCAGGCCTCAGTGTAGCAAACTCCGACACATGGTGGTAGTAGCAAGTCGTTTAGTGCCGGTTTGATCGCTACACGTCGGTCGCTTCTCCGTCGGTTCTCACCGGGCTTTCCTTCCCCACCCACCAGACGTCGTTCTACCGCCTGGTACCCAGCTTGATCGTGGGGGGCGTTCGGCCAGATAAAAAACCTCTAGCTGCTGTTAGCTACCACTAGCAATTCCGCACCCACTAGGGGGGGGGGGGAATCATGAGCTTGGTCCGACTAATGGCACTCTACCGAAGCCACGTGAAGGCCGCAGTTTAAAGTCAAAATATCTGGTTAGGGTCGAGAGCAGACCTCTTTTGGTTCTCGGCAGGCTTGCACCTCACCTCCCCCACGCTATAATGTAGGGGACTTGGGAGTTCGACATGCCAGGCTCCTCGGAACTGTCTCAATAAAAATAAACCGGGAGTGATCTCCCCTTAACTTTCTCGAGCATTCTAATATAACCTGGAATGTAGACATGATTTTTAATTACTTAAACTTTTAAAAATAGAATGGAATCTCATAGAAAAAAGAATTGCGCACCAAGCGAACGCCAAACTAAAATGTGCATAATAGTATTAGTACTTTATAAATTTACATGCGTTTTTTGAGAAATCGGAAAAAGCGTAAATTAGTACTTCCGGTCAACGGAAATTACTCAAAATTTGACAGAAGGTAGAGAATTAGATCTCCTACTTACATGTGAAATCATTTATATATCTGAAATAGAACTCAAGTTATAGGCTTTTGAAAAATTCAAAGTAGGAAAAGTACCACAAAAGTTGATACGGATCTACGATTTTGATAAAATACTTATATATGCAATTTCATCAACCTAGCTGTAACGGTACTCAAGTAATCGTGTTTACGCACAGACAGATAGACAGACAGATACACAGACATACGGACAAGATTGCAAAATTATGTTTTTCCGTATCAGTGAGGTGTAAAACGTCGAGATTTGTAAAAATCTCGATTTTTTTTTTCCACGATAACAATACTTTCTCTATACTTCGTATATACGAGAAAGTAAAAAGAAACTAAGTTTCGAATTAGTGACGGCTAATAGGGGAAGATAATTTAGTTTTTAAACCATTTGAAACTAAGGGGAGGTAGCAAGTTCTGCATGATCTTTTCATATTTGTTGGTAAACTATCGTCAAGGACTGCTTTCACTGGGGTAGAGAATAATCGTCTACTGATAGTGTTTTATTAAAGCAAAATATTTTCAGCCGCAGCATTGGTAGTGTCGAATTAACAAATTATGAATTACTGAAAAGTAGAAAATAAAACAACTAAATAGCGGCGTATGCTACGCCACGGGTCGGCTCGTATGTAATAATGCACTACTATTTAAATAATAAAAAGAAAAGTTTCGGTCGCTATGTTAATTATTCATTAACTTTAGCACAAATTAATCACACCAAAAACCAATAGGTCCTACCTACCGCATTTCACAATACCAACCATAATTCACAACATCAGTCACATCTCACAACACCAACCAAAACTTACAGCACCAAGCTTTACAACACAAACCATCACTCCCCAAATCAACTATCACACCCCAAACCACTATTTCTTTCAATATTAACATATCGTATAAGAGTACTCACAATACTAAACTGGTCATTACCTATCAAAAAATGCAAAATTTTAAAAATGTAGCGAATAAAGTTCTAGATCTATAGCAAATACACAGTTTCCAGATGAGAGATTTTTATAAATTTTAGTAAGATTTTATAATGGCATACGTAGTGTGTTAAATAAAAAATAATTTGGAGTAAAATTAATAACTTCTTTAAACGTGTACTTCATTATAGGAAAACGGCAACTTGAATACGATTGTTTTCAAAAACAATGTTGTTATTCAAAGTCTTTAGGCAGTTATATACAGGTTGACCTAGGCTTAAAAGTTGAATTCATATACGTTTATGTGTTTTCGCATTTCAGTTTAAATTACCTAAAAAAGCTCCTTTCTATAATATATTATGTTTTAGTACGTTATATTTGTTTTTAAGACAAATTGGCTAGGTGATAGAGCACTCCTTATATCATTATTTTTTGTTCAACTTTTTTTTTTTACTTTCTTGTATACGAAGTATAGTGGAAGTATTGTAATCATGAAACAAATCGAAATCGATATATTCACAAATCTCGACGTTTTACTCTTAAATGAGTTGTGAAAAACATATTTTTGCAAGTTTTTCCGTATGTCTCTGCGTGTGTATGTATGTATGTCTGTAAACACGATAAATTGACTAGCTAGGTTGATAAAATTTCAGATATAAGTATTATATCAAATGTGTAGTTCTGTTTCACCTTTTCAGCGATTTCTGGTAACCAGGAGTGAAACTTATTCTACTCATGATTTTTTTTCTTTTTTAAAAGAGCATAATTTATATACTGTTTCTGATAGTTGAATGAAATTTCACATGTAAGTAAAAGATCTAATTATCTGCCTACTGTCAAATTTTGAGTAGTTTCCGTTGAACGGACGAAGTAATTTACGCTATTTCTGATTTCTCAAACAACGCATGTGAATTTACAATTATACACAGATTGTTTGGTGATCACTTGGTGCGCAATTCATTTTTCCATACGATTCTATTCCATTTTAAAATGTTTAATTAATTGCAAATGGATTAAAAATCATGTCTACATCCCGAGTTGCCAACCCCCGTAGTTTTATATAAGAATATTCGAGAAAGGTCAAGCGAGATCACTTCCAGTTTATTTATGTTTACATCAATCTCTAGTGATTTTCTGACTCAACTCTGGAAAAGTATAAGCAGTTGGACATAGTCAGTGTTTCTTCCAGACTTTTTTCTCCGGGAGGCGGCACTTGAAATTTTCGGGGGGGGGGGGGGGGGGGGGGCGGACACTGTTAAAAGTATATATTTTCTATATAAATTATATAAATTTAATTTCGTTCGGGGGGGGGGGGCGGTAAAAAATTTTCGGGGGGGGGGGGGCGAGAAACTCTGGACATAGTGTAGACCACATACATTCTTAATACTGAAGTTACAGAAACTATATATGTCTTATGAATCATTAGATCTTGATCCGTTCAGGTATAAACGTTCATAAATAACTTTGAAAAATAATACATGTTACTTAAATTATGCATACATTCAATTATATCAGAAATTATTATATTTTAATTAATTAAAAATGTGTAATTTTTTTTTTAAAAGTTCTAAATTTAACTATAAATATGACTAACAATAATAATATAAATAACAAAATATCAGATTAATTTCTTAAATTTATTTTCTCATGTTCAACATTCGGACTATTTTCCAGGTCACAACATTCCGTCCACTGTTCGTGAATCTTGACTTACCACTTTCTATCATTAGAAACGAGGACTACTGTTTTACTGCTACTGTGTTCAATTATTACCCTGAGGAAGTTCCGGTAAATCTGGTTTCTGCCTACCAAGATCAATAAATACTTACAGCAAACTAAGAAACAACGAGCGTTAATAAATTGAACAAGTATAGCGCAGATACAATTTCAAGGGAAAAAATCAATTTTCTAATCACGGGAGATTATTTGAGCATTCCCATTTTTTCTTTTTAAAATAAGACATTTATTTTATTTTTTTTTTAATTTTCATTCATAATTCTAGGTTCTGCTGACGCTAGACCAAAGCCGAAGTTTTAGCAACATCCACGTGAAACGTGACGGTCGTCAAGTCAGTTTGTCTAAGGAGAATCTTTATTATTCTTACTTTCTAGGATATGTGAGTCTTTTTAAATTACCCTCTGGGGTCTGTGAGTCATTTTAACATTAGTTTTTGGAATATGTGAGTTATTTTTACATTACTTTCTGGGATATGCGAATTTTGTTATCATTAAATATCTCGGCTATTAAAATTATTTTTTTAAGAGTTTGAGTGTTTTATAGTATGCAAACAAAGCAGTTATTCTGTTGTCATTCAGTTGGTTGAAAACGAGTCTGTGTCTTCCATGTTTTGTGTGACGCCGCTAGTTACTGGAGATATCCCAGTCAGAGTCAGTGCACTGACTAACATTGATCGTTTGAGTGACGCCATCGAACTGAATCTTACCGTCAAGGTATGTTTGAGCCAAGACGAAAAAAATATATAAAAGCATGTGAAATATTAGATAAAGACCACGAAAAAATAAACTTTCTATACATTTAGATATTCATGTATTTAATTATGCTAAATTGTTCAAATATGTGTAGGCTGAAGGTGTGCCCAGGTCATCGAGCCATTCATTTCTTGTTGACCTTTCCAACGGCTCGTGGGTCCAGCAAGTTCCAATAGAATTCCCAGCAAGTTCTGTTCCAGATTCACAGAGAATAACCGTCAATTTTGCGGGTAAGTCATGTACGCATAATTCCTTACATCACAAAATACATCAACTTTAAAGTTACAATGCAGTGAAAATATTTTAAGTGTTACGTGTGTACCTACTTTATTCCAACCTAACTTGACAATAATTTCCTCATTGAAGTGAATATTTTGATAAAACCATGATAATGTTTCCTCTTTTTACAGGAAATGTTTTAGGCTCTTTATCGGGGGATTTCGTGAAACTTTTTAGACGGCAAAGCTACCGAACAGGGGAACAAAATATGATGGAATTTGCCTTAAATGTATACCTGTTGGAGTTTTTTTACCAGACAAATAATGTCAAAAGTGATTTCATGAAACAAGCAAGGGATTCGTTAATGAAAGGTGGGGGCTAAAATGGTATATAATTAAAATAACTAGATTACTATTTTAATAAATCAAATTACGCTTTTATTACGCACTATTTTTCATAAATAAAATATGTATCATACACTAGTACTTTTACTTAACAAAACAGTTAAAGATAGACACTACTTTTGCATAATAAAACGCTGATAGTTTAACACTACATACATGTAAGATAACTACATCTGCATTTTAAAAATTACAGCCTGTTTTTTTAAGTGTTGTAATGGGTGGTATATTTTTTACAAAAGACACCTGGATACCAAAGTTTTATCAACATGTAAGATAACTACATCAGCATTTAAACAATTACAGGCTCTTTTTTAGTGTTCTAATGGGTGGTATATTTGTTACAAAAGACACCTGGATACCAGAGTTTTATCAACTTAGCTTACAGAGTCTATCGTTTATAAAATACCTAAAGTCTGTTCTAACTCCCAGGAATCCAGTATGAAATGATGTATGAACATGGGAGTACCGGTGGTTTCAGCTCTTTCGGAAGTCGTAATGGAAATTTACCAAGTCTTTGGTAAGTAAAGTAATATTTAACAAACCTACATTACCACAGATGTACTGTACCAGTCTCCAGATATTTATTTAATCAAACTAGATTTTTACACTAAATGGTTTATTAATATTACCAAGTCTTTGGTAAGTAAAGTAATATTCAACAAACCTACATTACCACAGATATACTGCACCTGTATCTAGATATGTATTTAATCAAACTAGATTTTTACACTAAATTGTTTATTAATATTGATTTCATTATAATAGAGTACCTATTTTGTGAATTTAAATTGTATTTAAAACCAACAGTGATTTGACAGTGTTGGGATAAAAAAAAATAACAATTTTGTGAATGCAATTTTATAGACCTAACGAATGTAAAAAAAAAAGACTTCTGCTTGTAAATTACAGTTAAGTCAAGGTGGTACACGATACGATCTTATTGTTGTCTATTTGACTTATCTGGACAGGCTGACAGCTTTTGTACTGAAATGCTTCTCTCAAGCATCACGCTTGAATGATCGGTATAGAAACATTGTGACCATTGATAAAGAAATAATAGCTAGATCAGTTACTTGGATACAGTATCAGCAAGATGAAAACGGAGCTTTCATTGAATACGGCAGTCCCTTTGATATGGCTATGCAGGTATAGGAGTCTGTATGTATTAAAATAGAGGTAAAGTTCAAAGTGAAAATGTTTATCGCCTGTCAACACTTCTTTTGTGATGAAACAGTGTAAGCAGTTTTTTACAGAGTGAATTGGACAGCCGGGAAGAACTAACAGCGTACACAGTAATCGCCCTGTGGGAGGCTCGACAATTGCTGGACGAAACCATCAAAGCTACTGTAACTATTTTACCTTGGTGCAATTCTAGGAAATATTTTGCTTCAAACTGTAGCAAAATTGGTTCTTTAGCTCTATTTAATTTATTAAAAACGAACAAAAACAGAATTTTTTATAAAAATTGTCTATAGATTTCTATTGTTTGATTCCATAAGACTAGCACAGACTAAACATTGTGCCACTTGCAATTACAAATCGATTTACAATAAGATCTAAAAGTATATTTTATTACATTTGAACCAAATAGCTGGAAAATGGACTTGTATTTATATCCAAAGATGGCATATTAAGTGTGCGTTTTCCAAGCCCAAGTTAAAAAAAGGCTGCTTGCAATTACCAAATGTATAGTTTATTAATTTGTTAGCTCTTAATATTTTCTTAAAATATTCAGTTAGATCACAAGATTGAAAAAGCCACGCTGCTACTAACGAATCAACTGGACACTATCACAGATCCATTCACTATCTGTCTCTTGGCCTACACACTCCATCTTGTTGATAGTCCTCGCAAGCAAAAAAGTTTTGATAAAATGCAGGAAGTTGCTATCATAGGAGGTCAGCAACCGATTACTCTTATTAGTTCTGGTACATTTACAGTGAGCAGGGATTAGTATGTATACAATTATTTTATTGCACTATCGGTAGTGCTGTATCCAATAAGATATTCCTATAGTTTAAAAGTTTAACATATAAGTATATGATATAGAATCAAAATCATATACAAAATATGTGCAAAATAGAGTTCATCCGATTCAGTGGCTTTTTTTTCTTACGGGCAGTAGTGTGGTCAGTACTTTGTCAAGCCACTTATGTCTCCCTCACTTGATCCTAGTGCCCAACAGAGCTTGATGAACTAAAGGACAGCTTAGAGATTTAAACAAGGGATCCGAATTTGGGATAGCGTTTAGTTTTGACTTCTATCACTCAACCACTCCTTCCACTTTTCTATATATTGACAACGCTCTCTTTTTCTCTCTTTCAATATGTGTATCTCTCTCTCTATGTCACAGATTTCATCAAAACCACATAAAAAACATACACTGTAACTGCTTCTAATTCTACTAATTTAATGCACGCAGCACATATAATTTCCATTTCGTACTTAGTTTGTATATAATCTAGAAAAAATTATTATTTTACTTATATGCAATCCAACAAAAACGTCTTAGTAGGTTATCCCACAAACATTTTACTCTTCTCTGGTATGTAATTAAACGAAAATTTCCGATACCCCCGAAAACATCCGCCTATGACCTTTTATAGATGGTCTACGGTACTGGAAGAGGGATGAGCCGAGTCCGGAATATTATTGGTGGTATACACCCGTAGACCCAATCAGCATTCAAGCCACGTCCTACGCTCTCTTGACCTACTCGAAACGTGGTATTGCTGCCATTGAAGGACTTCCTATAATAAGATGGTTGGTTGGTCAGTTAAGATCAGATGGACTATACGTTTCAACACAGGTTTTTGTTAATTTCATTATTATAGTTAATTTTCCTTTACTGGTTATATTTAGACGTATTTAAATAATATTTTTGTTAAGTACACATTAAATTATTGTTATTTAAATTACGTAATTACAAAAAAAAATGTAAATGATTCTTATATATTTCCGGTAAGGATGTAGGCCTATATATTTTAGACTATAGACCATAAATTTAAAAAATTGTAACAAACTACATATTGTCAAGAATTTTGTTATATACACTATAGGCTAAAATAGATTTCTATTTTACCTGATTAAAAAAAACTACAACTCAACATCCTCAACCATCACATTCCTACCAGGCAACAGCTCTAGCCGTGGAAGCTCTGTCCAGTGTTGGCAGCAAGTTGTACACTGGGCAGGACATTCCCATGACCTTGACCCTGAGTTACACCAGCGGTACCGGCCAGGCACGGGCCGAGAAGTTTCACGTCAACAAAGACAATGAGATGCTGCTCCAGAGTTTAGACATTGACTACACGGTCAGGGTTGTTGAATGTAGAGTTGTCTCTACATGGTCAGGGTTTAGACATTGACTACACGGTCAGGGTTTAGACATTGACTACACGGTCAGGGTTTAGACATTGACTACACGGTCAGGGTTTAGACATAGACTACACGGTCAGGGTTGTTGAATGTAGAGTTGTCTCTACATGGTCAGGGTTTAGACATTGACTACACGGTCAGGGTTTAGACATTGACTACACGGTCAGGGTTTAGACATAGACTACACGGTCAGGGTTGTTGAATGTAGAGTTGTCTCTACATGGTCAGGGTTTAGACATTGACTACACGGTCAGGGTTTAGACATTGACTACACGGTCAGGGTTGTAGAATGTAGAGTTGTCTCTACATGGTCAGGGTTTAGACATTGATTACACGGTCAGGGTTTAGACATTGACTACACGGTCAGGGTTTAGACATAGACTACAGGGTCAGGGTTGTTGAATGTAGAGTTGTCTCTACATGGTCAGGGTTTAGACATTGACTACACGGTCAGGGTTTAGACATTGACTACACGGTCAGGGTTTAGACATAGACTACACGGTCAGGGTTGTTGAATGTAGAGTTGTCTTTACATTGTCAGGGTTTAGACATTGACTACATGGTCAGGGTTTAGACATTGACTACATGGTCAGGGTTTAGACATTGACTACACGGTCAGGGTTTAGACATTGACTACACGGTTAGGGTTTAGACATTGACTACACGGTTAGGGTTGTAGAATTTATGGCTATATGTAAAGATTTCTTTACATATGTGTTTTCTCTCAATGCGCGTGTTTACATTTTAAAGTTTTGATGTTGGCTCAAAAACCATTTTTTACATTTCTTTAATCAGTCCACAAATCAACATATTAAAAGGCTGCTTTATTCCGGAACTTTTAATTGAGCTAAAAATCTGGGTTTTACGTGATCTCTGCAATGTTTTGTCAATTATTTGATAATAATGTAATAATAATGATAATTATTTTAAGCGTTGATTAAATGTCAGGTCAAGGAAATGCTTGGCCGAGCAGTAGAGTTGTAAATTGCTAACCCGAACGTATCGAGTGCGGAACCCGGACTCGAATCTGTAGGACTTCCCCTTGTCTACACAGATATAATGGGTACCTGACACAATACGGAATTAATGGCGGCTGGGCATAGTGCTGGTCACATAAATCCATTGTATGACGAGGTCATTGAAACAGATGAACTCTACATCATCTGCCCCATGTATACTGAGCACGAAAGAAAAAAATAAGATGTTGATAAAAATGTCACGTGAGTTTTAATTTATTTGATAGAATGACGCCCCAAAGTCTATTTCAATCCTCGCCAGAACAGACAACAACCAGGTCGGACCAAGCTTGGTGATGGCAGAGGTAAATACTATTTAGCTGAAGATGTATCGGACACATCAACTCAACAAACTAACAAAACCCTAACGCGAGAAAAAAAAAACGCGAGACTTCACGAAATAACAGTTGACACACTAAAACAACAAAAGACCTAGAAAGGTTGCAACCAATTGGAAAATGAAAATCCACTCTTGTGCCCCAACAATATCCTCCCTCCAACGTTAGGGGATGACAGTGGCGTTGGCAAGTGGGGGTTAGGGGGGTTATGGGGGGTTATAACCCCTCCCATGGACCACGACCCATATATATATATAGTCATATATATATATATATATATATATATATATATATATATATATATATATATATATATATATATATATATATATGCATATATACCGGTATTCGACTTATTAAAACCATTTGTGAGATGATAATGAATGAAAAAGACGAGCCTGGCAACGTGATCGATTCTAAAACCTTCTTCTTATTACTTAACCATCCACTTATCTTTTACTAACACAACCTCAACACTAAATAATGTTTGCGTACATAAAATTGAAGTGCAATGTATGTATTTAATATTTCTGAAACTGTATATGAAATTCTTCTAACCATTATTGGGTAAAGTTATATTCGTGATATGTTAATTTTGAAATGGTGTTATCACTGTCCAACTAAATTCAAATTGTTCGTCTATGTAGGTTGTGTTGTATTATAACGTCCAGGGTGAGACCCAGGCCCTAGTGTTCAATATGTCGCATGTTATTTTAACTAAACGAAACAATGTTTACCTAACTATCACCATTCAGACAACCAGTGACAAGGTATATAATGTGATTTATATCGAATAATTTACACAACATAATTAAAATTAAATTTAGTCTCCATTTATATCGTAGTTAATTTTCATTTGTACATTCCAAAGTAGCTTTTTTACTTAATATTTGTTCCATTGTTAATATGAGAAAATAAGTAATGCCTTTTATTTTTATTTTTTAAGTTTTTTTTCGTTTTCATTCGGATTTTATTAATAATTAGATTTTTTTATTCACGATAATGGATTTTTAAAAATGCTATTAAAAAATGTTTAGCCTGCAGGTCTAAGTATTTTAGAAGTTGACATCCCATCTGGCTACTTGCCAGATTTGGATGTTTTATCTGGCAACCCGGCCCTCAGTCTTGTTGAAGTAGTGGACGATAAGATGATGTGTTATTTCGATACAGGTGTGGTAAGTGAAATGACAGTAAGATAAACACAAATTTTCATGTAAATCCCCGAGATTAAAAAATTATTTTCTTCAAACTACATAAATACATTCAGTACACCTCCAACTAGTATTTTTCTTGTAATGTAACAAATTATAACGATACAGAACCAACCAATATTTTGAATGTAATAAGCATAATAAATACTAGTTACATATAGTTTACTAAAATAGCATTTAGTAATTTAAGTTTGTCCTTTTCGGACCGTGGGGACAAATAGAGTTCACCTGTTTCTGTGACCAAGACATGTGATGGAACAATATGTTGTTTAGTGTTCATAATTAGTGTTAGGAGCCCATCACAGCGGGATGGACACTCGGACGTCCTTCGTACTAGAGCATCTTATACGAACGTTAGACTTTCGGGTTAGCAAGTGGATGATAGACAACACTACCAAGCAGTGGCGTAGCCAGGAATTGGTCATGGGAGGGGTTCAAATATTTTTCCATATGTATATATATATACATATATGTATATATATATATTTATATATATGTATATATTTATATATATATATGTATATATTTATATAAATATATAAATATATATATATATATATATATATATATATATATATATATATATATATATATATATATATATATATATATATATATATATATATATATATATATATATATATATATATGTATATATGTATGATATATATATATATATATATATATATATATATATATATATATATATATATATATATATATATATGTATATATTTGTATATATATATATGTATATATATATATATATATATATATATATATATATATATATATATATATATATATATATATATATGGGTGTGGTTCCATGGGAGGGGTTATAACCCCCCCCCCAACCTCCCCTTGCCTACGCCACTGCTACCACGCAGCACCATCATCAACCAAATGCATATTATTTTGCATGTAAAATTAACTAGACGTTGTTTGAAATTTTCAAAAAATGTTTAAACTATTTAAAAAAAAAATGAGAATACGTTTAACATAGTGTGTCGGGTATGGGGGGAGAAATCCACCATTTACTACCTAACTGGTTTATAAATGCTTTTGTTTTATTTTGAGGATAGTATGTTTTACTAATAATTTTTCAGATAACAATCAAAGGATTAAACTTGACAGTTCCACTTATAGCGACTGGTGGAGTCTTGACCAAGTCACACCCAAGAACCTACAGAATCTATGACTTTTACAATCCAGGTACGTAATACAAAACTGTATATTCATGTCTGTATCAATTTGCAACGAATCATACGCAATATTTTTTTTGTTTAGTATTATAGTGACGTATATATATTATGTTAATAACTTGAATGTTTTTGACATACTTCTTTTAAAAATTGGTTTAACTTTTTAAATGGGGTTTGATTTTATTTTTTGAACTCAAAAGTTTCAATTATTGAAGTTGCAACTCGTGTTCCCATTTTGCTTTTAGCTGATAATAGAAATAATTGTGAAACATATAAACTCAAAAAACTTGACATTAGTTATGTATACAAATGTGTATTAATAACAGTAAATGTGTATTACAGACAAAGAGTTGACCAAGACCTATGCACTAGAGGATGAAGATTTCTGCTCCAAAGTTCCCACAGTTGGTGTCTGTCAGTATCAGTAAAACGACAAGATTGGTTGAAATATGTACAAAACATTGTAACGATCCAACTGTACTCGTATATTTGTTACAGTGTTACAAATTATTATGCTTATAATTATTCTAACGTAATTATACAAATATTAATCATATACGTATTGCTATTGAACGTGCATAAAGATGATTCATTATTGTCTCACATACTTAGCTCATTTAACAGTAATATTTTAAAGTAAACACATCAGCAATTTTTTAACAAAGTGTTTTTATTTTTCTCGGATAAAAATAAATCTTATTTTTTTTCCTGTATTTCTTTGTTATATAAATAGGTTCTTTTTTTTGCTGTTAATACATACTTTTAAAATTCTTAAAATGTTGTAAATGTAATTATAATATATAATATGGAACTGATAATTTTCGGGTTTAAAGGGAAATAAACAACAACAAGAGTTACCTTGTTTTGTGTTTTATTCTTAATTTCTTATATTAATCGGCCACTGCCAGAATTATTTTGTTTTAAAAGTATCACAAGGATAACTTTTTATGAAAACAATAAAGAATAAGAATTTTTAAGAAAAAGAAGATTAAAATAATTATTTAAATCATGCATGTCGTCAGAAATACTTTAGAAAATGTCCTGGTTGAAATAAGAATGTGGCATATTAATACATGGTGCTCATTGCGGGGCTGAAAATATGAATTCGCAAATGGTATATGTTAAAAGGACTTTAAAATAGCTTCAATCGACCATTAAAAATTGCAATGATTATCTTCATTAGCGACGCGGAGACAACTGTCGTACGGCAGTCGTGCGTAATAAAACAGTAGATAATTATTGGATTATACCGTATAACCCTTATTTTAGCTTATATATAATTGCAATATATGCCTCAATTAGTGAAGTACCCTATTAAACCTGAAGGTACATGAGGCAGGTAAAAAGTGTTCATATATTTCAGTGATCTCAGCATATTAAAAATATAGTGGTCAGCACGATGCCAATCCGCCTTTACTTTACTCAACATAAAACAGGTACCTATTACAGCTGGGTAGATTAAGATCTCAACCCCAGACCTTTTGGCTAGCAGATAAACGCTCTAACCTTCGATCACCCCGTCCCTAATAGTATAACTACTTACATGTTAAAAGTTACAGACAGATTTTAAAGAAAAGTAATTTTAGTTTTTATGAATTCGAATTCGTAACAAGTCTTTCTAATTGCTGTTACGGTATTGACGTAATAGTATTAACAGGCGTACCGGTATTTAATTTGATTATATTAATGGTGTATGTTTATGATTGTTGCATTTTGGGTACTCTTGGTGTTTTGAAATCTTGAAGCCAGGTGTAGAAACAAAATATTAGAAAAAGGTTTTTGTTACTGTAACATTCTTTTGTTGTTGAGACAACTAGATGTTATTGTAAGTTCTTCTTTCTTCAAAGATAAACGATAAACTTTTGGCTAGCAGATAAACGCTCTAACCTTCGATCACCCCGTCCCTAATAGTATAACTACTTACATGTTAAAAGTTACAGACAGATTTTAAAGAAAAGTAATTTTAGTTTTTATGAATTCGAATTCGTAACAAGTCTTTCTAATTGCTGTTACGGTATTGACGTAATAGTATTAACAGGCGTACCGGTATTTAATTTGATTATATTAATGGTGTATGTTTATGATTGTTGCATTTTGGGTACTCTTGGTGTTTTGAAATCTTGAAGCCAGGTGTAGAAACAAAATATTAGAAAAAGGTTTTTGTTACTGTAACATTCTTTTGTTGTTGAGACAACTAGATGTTATTGTAAGTTCTTCTTTCTTCAAAGATAAACGATAAACTGCTAGTTCATTTCACAACTATATTTACAATAGTAAAATCCAAAAAGAATACAGTTCATTCAGTAATCAAACAACCCCCGTTGATGTCGCGCTAATTTATCAACATTCGATGCGCTGACTAGAGGAATTTTCCTTTTTTTTCAGATTTTTTTTTTAAATCGAGATATTTATATATAGCAGTTTATAGATGTACTAGGCATGCTGCCCAGCTTCGCTTAGGCTTTCGAAAACATTGAGAATTTGAATGCTTAATTAATTCGCCCGAAGGTCGGTCTACGACCTCAAGAGTTATGAAGAGGTTCCTCCGTGGACATTTTTTTTCGATTTATAGCTCATATAAGGTACCGGTCAGTCGAGGTCAGTTTTGACCCCCACATCGTAGACTTTTCGGCCAACCGGCCCCCGTGTTCTGTCGCACCAAGGCAAGATCATGCCAAATTTGAAGCGCCTGCGGCGCCGGGAAGTGCCCTATCGGACACCCGACAATCTAGATCTAGATCTAGATTCCTAAAAGAATTTTTTTTTTAAATTTAGCCCGAGCATAATAAAAAAGAATACATTAACCAAGTTGACTTGCTGTGTCTCGAACCCGCACCACCTGCGTGGTTTAATGTACACTAACATCTCCGCTATTTAGGCACCTTATAAAATACGGAGAATGAAACACGTATTTTAAAATCTTAACTTACGCGAATATGCCTATTCTTTCAAATTAATTTTTTATCCCAAATTAGCCAGTTCCAAACAAAGATTTTGTATAAAATAAATAAGTCTTGAAATAGTTTAGTCCTAATATAGAAATTTATTTTTGGAATTGATTTTAGAGAAGTTAGAGTCTAAATCTAGATCTTAGCGTCTACGTCTAGAGATCTAGTTATTGCGTAGATTTAGATTTAGTCTAGATCTAGAATCTCTAGATCTAGAATCCAAATACATAAAATAAATTTTATGAGTTTAGGCCGGAAAAATTGTATTGTATACATTTCATAGTGTACGTAGATCTAAATCAAATTTGAATGAAATAGTTCATTTCTTTTCATTCTTAACACGGCAGATGACGTCATTAGTTAATGTATAAGCAATAGTGACGTCACAGTTTTATGCGTTCTTTTTCACATATATTAATGCTTTTCCGGTTGCATAAATAATACTGTTTCTCTACATTCGAATACGCCTTTAATTTTTATTTTTCTTCTTTAAGTAAAATTGTGGTTATACATTTAAAACATCTAACATATTATTTTCAACAAAAGTCCGTAAAAAGTTCTCCATATACCGCTGCCGATTCTGACGTGATGTCCGGCGAAAATTTTTTGCGGACAGAGAAAGAGAGAGAGAGAGAGAGAGATGTGCGCACATTGGGCTTTTATAAATTAGGATTAAACTAAAAATAGAGTGATTATTTGAACAACCACTTGTATAAATAAAAGCGAATACCGAGCGGTAAATACTAGCATAATGTTTACATCTCTAGTTTTATGAAATACCAAATGCTACCTCCATCTCACAGACTATGTCTATACAGATATCTTCATATTTGACCTATGTTTACCGGTCACCAGTCTCCGGTTGGTAAAGCTTTTGTTTGTTAATTTTTTTTTTTAAACTGAGTTCGACACCAGGTGTTGGATGAAGCTCGATAGCTGGTGACAGCGACCAATCTACGAGAAAAAAAAACACTCCATAATTAAACAACGGCTGCCTTGTAGTTTGTTCTATGTTGGGCAAAGGTTATCGAGACAATTCCAGAAAGAAAAGCAGGCTGAAATCAGAGTCGCAGGGTTACAAGACACAGAACATGTTGTTATGTTCTACTTAATTGTGTTGGAAGAAATCCCATTCAAGTTAACATATAATTTAGAACGAACCATAAGATGAAGACCTATGTTTCAAATGTGTCATCACATTTGTATCAAACAGCCATTTGATATTAGTCACTAATCAAAAAAATAACTAAATAACTAAATATCCGACACATTTAAAATAACATTGGCTACCAATACCTATTACATACATTAGTAGTCAACACAACAACATATTAAATGCCTAAACTGATTAACACTAGGAGACGTAAATGATTCTGTTAAAAACCTGGCTGTTCAATGGTATTTATGTTGTTTTTTAAAGTAATTTGAATTACTTTTGTCGGAGGAAATTTTAAACATTTCATAGCGTACGTCTTGATAAGTAGATCTATATATCTAAACCAAATTTGAATGAAGTAGTTCATTTCTTGCACCATGTTTTCTAAAATTGGAAGATGTCGCCATTTTATTGTGTATACCTCTTTTTTCAGTTATTAAAATGTATTACTCCTCATTTCAAAACATCCAATTATTACAAGACAAACTCAGGGAACTCCCGGTTAGCTTTTTATAGACTGAAGTAAAGGTGTCCAGCTTGTGCTCAACATTATTCTGCTGTCTCTTATCGAGATGAACTTTAATTATCTTAAACCATCCAACTTAACACGTACACGTTTGCTAACTTTCTCAGCGGGAAAGCATAGATCTTCCAAAAATAACATCATGTACAGCTGTGAGGGTTCGGCTTCTAGGACGTTTTTGCTCGTTCTTTCTCTTAATCTTTCTGGTTGGTTTTGGGCAAGATTCTCCTCTGAGCAATAAAGACAACTGGTTTGCCATTGAACTTCTTTTCTAGCTCATAAACAAGTAAAGTTTAAATTTTCTGATAAGCCCTTAAATGTGGAACAGGTACAAAGAGGATGATAGCTTTTTTGCCTTGCATATCAATCTCCTTGGCTCCAGTGATAGACAGCTCATACAAGAAAGCTTTCCAGTCAGAATTCCTTCCCAGCTCCAAAAGAGCCTGACTAATGGAGGAAGCCGGACGTTTTACCGAAATAAACTTGCCCGAATGCTGTTTGCCCGAAGGCCGATTTCCGGTAAGGATTCTTGCCCAAATGCAACAAACGCCCGTATTGACACTTGCCCGAATGGGACAAATGCCCAAATGGACACTTGCCCGTAAGGGACAAATGCCCGAATGGACACTTGCCCGAATGGGACAAATGCCCGAATGGACACTTGCCCGTATGGGACAAATGCCCGAATGGACACTTGCCTGAATGAGACAAATGCCTGAAAGCCACTTGCCCGAAGGCCGTTTGCCCGAAAAATTTAAACATTATATATTATCATATAGTCATTCTTAATCAATTTAAATTTGACATGTTGATAATCAATGCATATCTAAGCAAAAAGAAAGGATAAAATTTAATATTAAATATTTTCAAGCAGACTTTATTAATTACTTTTTATTTGCTATATATAGTGTACAAACATTTTTTACTCTCTAGAAAACAGATTTTAAAAATGAATATCACCTTCTTTATTAAATAATCGCTGAAACACATTGTCTAAACAAGGTGCATGAAATGGAGATTTAACAAAAATGACTACTCATTTTTTCAAATTCGTCGCCTAGTCCGCGCCTTATTCTTTAGTTAAATGATCACCAG